CCCCCCCAGTCCCCCTTTGTGCCCCCCACGAAATCACATTTTGCCCCCCCAGGAAAAGTCCCTTTTTCCTAAAATTATACAAACAATCCAGCGAAGATTAACAAATAGATAAACGGAAAGTAAGTTTTAGGCTTTATCCTTTGTTCTTGTTTAACAAAATCGATTTAAATTGTTACTTTTTTTACCACTAAGCCATGATAAATTATTGTTAATATTTTTTTTTATTTATTGGATGCTCAGAATGCAGAAAATAGCATTTCACGGTTTCAAATTTCAAAAATTTTCTTGGGATTATCCCTCTAATAAGTAATAATAAATTACAGTTAATATTCTCTTTTACTTTTTGTGCATTTTTCCATCTTTTATTTCAAATACAACTATAGTTAGCATAAATTTTAGAGCAAATTTGGATGCTCAGAATGCAGGAAATGGCATTTCTGTAGTTCATATTTCAAAAATTTTCTGGGGGAGTACACCCCCACACACCTGACCATTGCTATCCTCCTCTAATAAGTAATGATAAATGATGGTTAATTTTTTTTTTACTTTTTGTGTGTTTCTTCCTTTATTTATTTCAAATACAAGTATAGTTAGGATAAATTTTGGAGCAAATTTGGATGCTCAGAATGCAGGAAATGACATTTCCGGGAGTCAAATTTCAAAAATTTTCTGGGGGAGTACACCCCCAGACCCCTCATTCATGTGTGGTATATCTGCCACACACGTGGCTTTCAGCCATTGCTATCCCCCTCTAATATATTATCTCACAGAAAGGTCCCTTTTCAAAAAATGCCCCCCCCCCCACAGGAAAATCCTTAAAAAAGGCCCTGCCATGCAGGGACGCCGGAACGATAAAAAGGCAAAGGGGGGCAAACGCACACCAAAGGGCACCTCGATCTATAGACACCGGTGAAGATATAAACCTACAATTATGTGTTGACTTGCCAATGAAAGCAAATGCACTTAATCAGGTCACATTCAAGATCACACTTCATGATTTTGCCCAAAAAGCATCACTGGAAATGTGATTTATCAAGTAGTATTTTACAACTCAAAGGGCACTTCTGCCCCCCTTGCCCCTCCTAGCAAAAGGCAAGAGGGGCAGCTGCCCCCCAGTTCCGGCGTCCCTGGGTCCATGCCATACATTAAATATAGTATATTATAAAATATAAATTATTTTATAACATACTATATTTAATAGACATACTTTATTGATTTTATATCAATTTCATCAAAGGCTCTTAATTTATGTAAACATGTTGTATTTTATATTAAATGTATTTAATAATGACATTGTATTTTAATACTATTTAATAATGACAAAGTGAATAATATAATAGCTGGAAATGTTAGTTCTTCCACCTTGTCTTGCCTTAAATTGCATGCAATATATAGCTTAATTTATAGGCTATCAATGTTTTTTTACAGTTGACAAATTTTATTGTTAATATTGCAAATTTGCTACACTGGTGATGAGCCTCTTAATTTTATGCTGTATACATACATTCAGTATTAAGTAATGTGGCAACATCTGGGAAACTAACTTCTGAATCTCTTACATGCAGTTGATATAATTTTTATAAATTATAGTGCTACATTTCAAGGTTTAATTAGTTACCATAGGCACAGGAGGAAAGTTTTAAAATTTAAAATTGAGGAGCACTTCATGTCAACAGCACCAAATTTATAATTTGTAAACTTTTGAAGAGAAATTGGGCAAGGCAGAGCAAGGATTAGGTATGGGGGGGTGGGGCTGTAGCTCCCCTATGTGGATATTCTAGCCCCTCCCCAATCAGGGAAGTGGAATGTACTGGGAAAAAAATGTTTTGTAATGACCTTGTTTTGTAGTGCTGGTAAATGCACTGTTACAGACAATAAATTCTGCACCATTTCATGAGAGCCAAAAAATTCAACATTTTCATGTGTGAGCATAAGTTGAACATACAAAACAATAATTTTACTGTTTGAAAGATTATAGCCTCCTGATGGGAACCTGATATTCCTTGTCGGGGAACCTGGTATTCCTTGTTGGGGACTTGATATTCCTTGTCGGGGAACTCCTGGAGCATCCAGCCTCCACACACAAGCACACTGGTACCCACACACCTCTATTTTCCTACACCACTGCAATATTAAAGCACAGCATGGATGCACCATAAAGCTGTTATTTATTTTTTACAGTATCTTTATTAACACACCAAATTTTCATAGAGGAAATTGTAAGAATAAATCACCATTTATATCAATGACACAAAATTGTTTATTTTGTTCATGTAATTTCTTTCTTTCTCTGAGTTGATGAAATTTCTTTCTTTCTCTGAGTTGATGCAACTTCTTTCTCTGAGTTGATGAAGAAACAAACTTCACGACATACCAATCCTTTCATAGCAAGGCCTGAAATCCTTCCTAAAGTAGTAGTACAATGTTTATAAATTAAAACAATCTTTAGCCAAAAATTTTAGGCCAATCATAATTTAACAGCAACATGGATAATTTTATGATTGAAAATGGCTGGCAAGAAAATACATATTTCAAGTCATATATATGTATTAAATTGTACAATATGATACTAGCTTGTAGAATGCAGTCACACATGATACCTTACAGGTAGTTGTATATCCTACAAACAATCGTTATCTGGGGATACCAAGATTAAGGTGGGGGGAGGGGCGAGGGTGGGTGGGTGGGATGCACATAATATTTCAGGTTTTTATGCTCATTGTCTCTCAGTAAATGTCGCATTTTACATATGCCAAATCTAATGTGAATTTACATGGTTTGATGGCGAGCGAACATAGCAATTGCAAACACGGTAATAGGTAATAGGAAATAGCCCGCCAGCGAACCAAATAGTCGCCAGCGAACCCACTTCTTCAACACGGAAATAGGAAATAGCAATTACACTTCTGGGCTTCCGTATATTAGTAATTATTGCTAGCGCTAACTGCCAGGCAAATTGCAAGCGAATCGATATTTTCGAAAAAACAAACGCGCTCTTCTTTAATTATAGTGGTAATTTAACGCTCCGTGGAGCGTCTTGTTTAGATATATGATCATTGCCACTTATTATGAGGTTAGGTTCTCACGACGGAAGTGACTGCGTGTTTGAAAGCACATGAAATATAAATGCATGTTACCGAACTACAGAAAACGTACCTTGGAGTAATAGGAAAATCACAGTCAGTATTACAAAATCGAAACGCTTTGAAGACATCTTCTTTGGTTGAGGAAGCTCTTTAATTAACTCGATTGTGCGTTATGAAAGTGGAAGAAATGAACCAACGTGGCGAAGCAGAATAAGCGGAAATAGTCATTGAAACTCCTCAGCGTGAAGTCTGTGGTAGTGGTGCTTTTGAAATCGATTCAAATCGAAAAAGATTCCTGAATCAAGAAGTGCAATGTAAACATGGCTATAGATTATGTTTTATACATTTCAAAGACAATGATAACAGTCTTGAACAATTAATTCGGATTGGCAATTTTCTATTCAAGTCGAAAACGTTTAGTTTGGTTATTTAATAAATGCACCCGACTTGTCTTTCTATATTGAGCAGGGGCGTAGGAACCGGGGGGGAGAGATCTGTATACGTCGACTGTTCACTTTCCATGCACTTGTTCATAATTCGCATCATCTTTGATTTTATCAGGATTTTCATAAATATCTTTTGAATTATTTCTGTCCTTGCTCTTGTTCTCTGGGTTTGCCTTTAATGGTTTGAGTCGACGATTTTGATAAATGAAATAAGCAAGGATAACCACAGCGGCCTAATCTTGCAAGGGTCAGTATAGCAATGTATATTATAATAGTAAAAAAAAAAATTTTAAATGAAATTTACTAATTGCCTATTTGATAGTGTGTGTTCTCCTTTTATTCCTCTTTTGTTGGACTAGTATTTTCCGAAACATTGCACTCGATGGTTACGGCCGCTACTAAAATATACATACTATATGATAAAGGCAAATCGCTTCCAATCGTCGATCCGTCGGCACAAGCACTTCGAATCGAAAATTATCCCTCTCAAATCGCTTTATTCTCCAAAAAAGTTCGCCAGCATGTAGAACAGATACTGTTCTTCGAATGAAATACTGAGATGCTTCGGCGAGATGTATAAGTTTTGAACCATATTTTAACAATGGAAATCAAAATCAATTTGAACTTACAAAGACCGACGGTTACTACCGCGAATGCCTGGGAAACTAGGCCTCCTTTACCGTTGGGATTTACAGAGGGGGCAGGAGGACGCCGCCTGCCCACAGCATGCAAATACCAAAAAGCGGGAAGTACAATGGGAACATACATATTGTCTGACTGCATATAGCACGTATGTTATAATACGAAATGTATTTAAAACAATTTATGATATCTATTTATAATATAGCATTTGTAAATTCTGAACGCTGATTGGCTAAGAGCCGGTTGATATAACTCAATGTCAACACGGGAAATTTTCCGCCGCTTGTATAAATACGGAAATTTCCTTATCCTTCGGGCTTTTGACATTGCTATATTATAAAAAAATATAAAACATATTTTCCGTATTGATATATAGTTATATCAACACTCGCGTGGAAGTTGGGAAAACTCGAAATTGTATGAAAACACTCCGCCCTTCGGGCGTCGTGTTTCCATACAATTTCTCGTTTTCCCAATTCCACTCGTGTTGATATTATACAAATAATGAATGTTTATGAGTGCAATGGTAAGAATATTTTCATGAGGTGAAAGATGGAATGTTCCATTCAACGAGGCGACAGCCGAGTTGAATGGAACATTCCATCTTTCACCGAATGAAAATATTCTTACCATTGCACGAAGAAACATTCATTATTTGTTTTATATAATACCAAAATAGACTAATAGATTCGTATGAGAAACATTTTGAGGGATGCGATTTATCGAAAACACCAAGAGTGCAATTGTACTATACGTTTTATTCCATTGCACTCGCGGAGAGTGCAATGGAACGTGTTCCATTGCACTCTTGGGAAATGGAATTTTCTATTCAATATCACGTGACCATAAACAGCCAATTAAATGATTAGAATTTAATAAGGTATTATATAAAACTGTATATCAACACGGAAAATGTTTTATATTTGTTAAATATCATATTTCAAATTAGCCTTTAATATAACGGTTAGATGTAGGTTAGAATATATACGTTAGATTCAGTACGAAAGTGACTGCGTGTTTGAAAGCACAAAAATACAAATGCACGTTATAAACTACAGAAAACGTACCTTGGAGTGGTAACAGGAAAATCAGTATTACAAAATTGAAACGCTTTGAGAACATCTTGTTTAGTTGAGGAAGCTCTTTAATTCGATTATACGTTATGAAAGTGGAAAAATTATAAGCGGAATAAGCGGAAATAGTCATTGAAACTCAGCATGAAGTCTGTGGTGCTTTTGAAATTGCAAGAATAACAAATATCAAAGATTCCTAAATCAAGAAGTGGAATGTAACTCACGGCTATAGATTATGTTTTATACATTTCAGATATAATGATAACAGTCTAACAATTACTTCGGATTGGTAATTTTGTATTCAAATCCAAAACGTTTAGTTTGGTTATCAGAACACATGTATGCCGACTTGTCTTTCTATATTGAGCTTATCGACTGCTTCGTACAAAGAGCCTCACTAGCCTTCTTAAAATCCAGTTTCCTTCTGACTCAAGTAGTCGTTGTGTACTTCATTTACGTAAACGAACGTATATTCAGTTATGTTAATTTGCAAACGTAAGAAATTGAATTCTGATTGGCTCCACATGTAATATGTGTAAATGAGACCATAGATATGCATATTGTTTGTTAAATTGTAAAGGCTAATTCTAAAGGCTTTATCGTGTTGTCAGTTAATCACAATTTCGATTTGAAGACATGTGTAGTCGTGTAGATCACTATAGAGTCTAGAGATTGCCTAACGTACTATCGCATCGTGCGAAAATATGTTTGCATATACAAAGTTTTCATTCTGGTGCAGACATATGTCCAACTGTTTGCACAGAAAATGTTTGAATCTTAAAACTTCTCCAGACACTATAAGAGTCACAAGAGAATAGCTACATTAATTAGTCGTTCAGCCTTCAAGGTCAAATCCCAAAAACAGACTGGCCATAAACATTTTCTAGCGATCCATTTCCTTCTATCGATAGTAAATTAAAATCGTTTTACTCTGGCTCGCCGTGTTTATATGCATGCTTCAATGCTGAAATATCGTTGATATGTACATGTCCTCGCTATAAATCTCGTAATGTCATGATTGATTCATGAGCGAAATTAAACTCTTCACAAATATGTTTGCCTTTGGCTTTGGGAATCGAAATATTTACGACACATACTGTATTGAGTGGAGCAATGACAATGTCTATAGTAAGACATCTGTTGCAATTTTGCCCGTTGGGAACTGTGTTTACTTTCATGCAAACTCATATACATACAGTACAGCATATGATATGGCACGAGACTGTCGAGTCATCAGATTCCATTGAAATTGTACTAAATTTTCGTTTACAAACAGCGGCCAGGTTGACTTCCAAAGTTATATCAGTTAGCACTCTGCGGATATTCTGAGTTTTAGTTTACTAGGTAGCTAAGCATGCATAGTTGGGGGGGTGTAGGCCAAAAATTTCCGAATGACGAAAGAAATTTCCGAATATTTCATGGCATACGAAGTCACGAAGGTGTTTGCTATCCGGAAAATGAAAATGAAAACGCAATTTACAAACAAAAATACTCATATTTTACTCACAGACATATTACAGAAGCATGCAGTTTCGTAGGAAGTTCTTTTTGATAAGGGTGTGGCGAGGGCCGAAAGCCCGAGGAAATTTTTAAATTTAGAGTCTCTGAAATGCCATTTCGTGAACTTTGGGGGAAGTTTTGACAGAATTCTGATGGTCAGAAAACAGAGTTTTAGCACGTCGAAATTTACAATTAATTTGCTTACAATTTAGAAGAACTAAATGGGCAATGGCGTATATGGGTAAAATGATTATTTGCGGTTTGTCATGGGTAATGTAGCCGCTTAAAATTAATCAATTGTCAGTATTTTAAAGATATATTGAGGGCTGCCCCTCCCCCCCCCCCTGCGTTACTACGGCCCTGGGAAGTAATAAACCGAAAAACATTTACCGATCTACGATTTGTTGAATATTTTATCCATGTAAATGCCGTGCATGATTTTGTCAATCAGTTTATGATACTGACAATACAATTTTATAATATTTACTCTGTTTAATTAAGCAACTAAAATTTTGTTATACTATTCCTGCCGTAATTTTCCGAATGACCAACCTGATTTTCCGAATATGTTAATTCTAAAAAAGTTGGGGGGTTAACCACCCCCCCAATACCCCCATTCGCTACGGCCCTGGAGAGCCTAGATTACAAAATTTTCTGTGGGTGTATGCCCTTGGAACTCATCGGAGGTTTGTCACTTCTAAGCTGCCTTTCATTTGCCAATATGAAAATATTTCTTTCCTGCAAGTGTCTGATTATGAAACTATGCTGTCCTAGATAGTTGTAACTGTAGGTGCTGTCAAGGCCGCCCATAAGGGTGGTTGGGCCAATTTTTCTTGGGACCTCAGTTAAAGGCGGCCAAAAAAAGAATTACAGTAAAATATACGTAGATATATAACTGTCAACAGACTTCCAGAATGCAGGATTTGGCCATTTCTGGGACCTCAGATCTCAAAATTTTCCTGGGGGAATACCCCTGGACTCCCTAATCATAGTGTTAGAAGATGGAATCACGAGGGGCCCCAAATCAAATTTGGCCCTGACTATTCCCCTGGGCATCCCTGGGTGCTGTAGTGTATGTTGGTTTTGGCATTTTTGAATATCAATTGTAGCCTGTTTTTTGGTTACACATTATTATAAAGGTGTGTTCAGAAATTTTTAGGACGTGCTTCTGCTCGGCTAAACTCTGCGCAAAAATGTGCAGTGATAAAAAATTCTTAAAATTAGGTATGTAGGCTACTGCTTGTAGTTTCCGTCTAAAGAAAAAATCAAAGGATTAGTCTTAACTTTTGTATAGGTGTAGTGGTGTAGTTATGTAGACATACAAAATGCAGTATAGCCTTTGGCTTTATACTTTAACAATATTAACCTGAATAGATGATACGGTTATTAACAGGCAGGTTCTACTTTTTCGTTGGTAGGAACTACAAAAAGAACTTGATGCTGAAAAGGCTAAAGTGAGAGGACTTGAATATGGCGAAAATATTCAACCTGAGCCTGCAGTGACTGCAAATAATAGAGAAACAGTAAACGTGTTATTAGAAAGAATCAAAGAACTTGAGAATGAGGCGTTGGTCTTGCAACAGCTTGTTGACTCTAAAGAAGTCGCGATTGATAAACTGCATGATTCTGTTCAGAGCATGGAGGCTGAGAAAGAGACATCTCAGATGCAGAATTTACTGGATGCTCTTTCCAAGGTCACTCATTTAGAAGAACATATAGCTCGACGAGATCAAACTATACAAGATTTAGAAAATGAGATAGAATTGAACAAATCACAAGCGGTGCTCAGCAATGAACTTCAAGATATTCTTTCTATGAAAGATGAGGAGATGAACAAGATTTCTAAGAAATGTAAAATGTTGGAAGAAGAGTTAGGAGAAGCCAGGAAGTTCTCTGATCAAAATGCTTCAAATGAAGAGAGAAAATATAAGGAAGAGTTGCAGAAGAAAGAAGAAGTGTTTGACAGTCATTCAAAGTTCATGAAGTCAAAGGTATGTGGATATGATCGCTTTACAGCAAGTAGTATACGCTTACCTAATGGACCTATTCCCTAATGAACAAAATTTTGATCTGGACAAGTCTAGACAAAAATTTCATCACAGCTTGAAAGAGCATCAAAAAATTAGTAATATTCCGAAGTTTCGTTGCGAAATGTTTTAAAATGCGGTTACTATAGCCCTACGAAGTTTGCCGTTTTTCAGTCATTTTGTATTAAGCACGGGAAATTGATACCGCTTTCTGAAAAAAGGTATCAATTTCCCGTGCGTGATACAAAATGACTGAAAACCGGCAAAATTTGCAGGGCTATATTATCCGCATTTTACAACATTTCGCAACGAAATTTCGGAATATTACTAATTTTGTGATGCTCTTTCAAGCTGTGATGAAATTTTTGTCTAGACTTGTCTAGTTCAAACTAGATTTTGTTCATTAGGGAATAGGTCCATTACCTGTACAGTACATACATGTACTTTGCCCATTGCCCATTTTATCTGTACAACAATTGTGATATTACTTTCTTAACTGTGTTTATTATACCCACCCTGTCAACTTTCCCTGTGGGAGGAAACCGGAGCACCCGGAGAAAACCCACGACTTTCGGCCGAGCGTTGACTGACTCCTTTCACATGAGTCCGTAGCGAGAATCAAACCCACGATCTCAGAGGTGAAAGACGCTTGCTCTGACAACTGTGCCACCAAAGCCTTTATATGTATTAAATAGCTACGAAGTGTTGTATATGAGCTGATGTATATGTTCCATGTGTTGGTTTAGAATATTCTAAGCCGATATACTCCAGATGATCTTCATACGCGGAAAAGTACTGGCACTAGTTGTCAAATAGAAATCCATTTTGTGATTAAAACAACTGAATATCTCCTGTAATATACTTTATTTCGATTCCATATTTTTGTCAGAGCTATAGTTCTCATAAGAAAACATAATTACAAAATTTCAACTAGTTTCATAAAGAATAACGAAAGATATAATTGACTGAATACAACAAAATGGATTTCTATTCGGACAACCCTTTCTGAGCGCTGATTGGCTAAAATACGAACACGAGATCACCTGGCTAGAATTCAAATTAACAAAATTCATAACCTGCACATACACGACACTGGGTTAAGATACCTCTGTTCCGAGTTATGGATACGAGTTGCGTCATGTTGTTTAGTAATTTTCACTCATGTCTGCGAATTTGATCTCACTTTATGCACATGCTCTACTGCAAAAGAACATGTACGGTAATTATGTCGGCGCCAGATCAGAGTACAGTATCTTATCGACTTATCTTCTCAATTGCTCACAAGAAACCGGTTATCAAGCATTATTGATAGAGTGCCGCTCACAGGCCCCTTTTTCAATTTGTACAGACACATTTTAAAACCGTGTCACCTTATTTCCTCTCTGTACTCTGTGGTGCTGGGGGGAGAAAATCCCAATGTCATTTTGATCGGAAATTTTGCATTTAGATAACTCAAGGTTCTATGAGACACCATTTCCCGCCTTCTCAAAATTGCATTACTTTTCATAAGAGACGAAGAAATATTCATGCTATGATAATGGCGTACATGTATTTAATAGTTAAAAATCTAAACTAAATCCATCATTCTTGGAACCATATCTACAAACGCTCCTTACACATCAAGCTCCTTCAGTAAATCGTCGTTGTCCTCAGTCGAGACCTAGCTTCGAAAATGTAACGTGTATCCCCCCTTTCTCTACAGATTTAGCCTTTTTTCCCTCGCTCCACCCCCGCCTCCTTGGCTACACCACTGTCTAAAGTTATGAATTTTGCTCGCAGACACTAAATAATGTTAATGCCGATTATTGTCTGATTTGGAAACACAGATGAATTTTGTTTTGAAAAACGAAGGAATTTTTAACAACCAAGTCCTCAAGCCCTGGGCAAACTAGGAAACATTGTTGCGGAAACATTGTTTCCTACCAATGTTTCGTTTCCAAGAGTGGGCAAACACTAGGAAACATTAGTAAGAAACATAGGGAAACATCAAATGTTTCTGAATTCGCTAGGAAACATTTTTGCTTCTCGGGAAGCAAACTTTGTTTCCGCAACAATGTTTCCACAGGTGGGCAAACAGGAAAACATTTGGGGAAACATCGAGAATCACAAATGTTTCCACAACAATGTTTCCTAGTTTGCCCAGGGCTTTATCACTTTCTCAAACTACGTCTCGCTTGCTTATTTCCTATATGTACTTTACAGACGTTTTTATAGGTCAGGTGGTTTCATTGCCTTGAAGTATACTCCTTATATTCCAATACTCCTTATTGTTAATTTCCCGTTATTTCTGTTTTGAAGCTTGATTCATCCAAGGGAGAATTGGCCAAGAAAGATACCGAGTTGGTGGCTGTCAAAACGAAACTTGAAACATTTGAGAAACATCAGTCAGATCTACAGGAGCATATCACTGTCTTACACAGTTCAAATAAATCCAAGGAAAATCATATTCAAAACTTACAGCAAGAGGTAAGTTAGTTTGTTAGTATAGGTAATAGGACGGTTTCTCGTGAAATTTGGATAAAACAAGCACTCGTGCACTTTTTCAAAGACCTCAAATAGCACTCGTTCTTCGGACTCGTGCTATTTTGATGCTCTTTGAAAAACTCACGAGTGCTTGTTTTATCCAAATTTCGTGAGAAAATAAAAAAATCACATCATACAATGCTAACGGCTTTAAATTTTCACTCAAACATGTAAGTTTTGCTAGTTTTGTTTAAGGTAAAGTCTTTTCCATCAAAAAAAAAGATAAATGCCATATTTTCCACCCGAACTCAACTTTTACTCATGTAGCGCGGCCATGTTTGTTTTGTTTTGAAGCAATCTGTGACCGTTACTTGATGACTGCTTTAATTAAGCTGATTGGTTGATTTTAGATCCCATTGTTTTTTTCCACCAATCAGATCAGTTTGTTACAGATTTTTGCACTGTGTTGTTACAGATTTTTGCATTGCTGTTTGAGATTAAAGCCCATTTTCCACTAGGCGCGAACAGTAAAAAAATACATAGGAAGTAGGAACTGGTCCAACTTTTTCGCGGCGAATTTTTTCGCTGACCAATCACATTGCCAAGATTTGTTTTTCGCTTCGCGTGAACAAATTCGCCTAGTGGAAAATGGGCTTAACTACACTGAAACAGGGTGCGATAATTCGCGTACTTACGTACCGGAGATACGCCAATATTACGGTCTTTGTTTTTAGCCAAGGACCACGTAGGTACGCAGAACTCTTGCTATCTGCGTACTTGCAGTTTGCTGGTACCACGTGACCAAGCCCGAGGTATTCAAAACCGTGATTTGGTCGGTAAATGTGTAAGTTTGACACATGTTGGCATGAAACATGATTGGACTATGGAATCAATTATTGTGTTTGTATATTGTGATCCTTGTTCTAACTCGTATTCCGTCTATCCAGTCCATTATAAGATCAGTTCACACAGAATGGATAGACACTATCAAAAATGAAGCCAACTCGAATGAGACTTGGAGCAAGTCTAATTAAGAACTAAACGTAATTCACGTGTTATTACGTCCATCATGTACACCTGTATACTAAAACACTGAGTGGCCTTTTCTTTATTTGATCCATAGAACAACGTGTTAGTGGAGACAATGCTGTAAGGAAAATTACGTGGTCATTAAATTTTACTACAATCCTTTGCGAACTTTAATGAAATAAAAGCAACTTCAATATGTCTGATGCGCTAGTACAAAGCAATGGTTTCTTGAGTTTTCAGAAGTATACAAGGAAACAATCGTAGTAAATTCAATATACCATATTCATGCATGCCGCTCCTCTGTCTTTTCAAATATTATAGTGCAGTATGTCAGGATTGCACGAGTTTTTTATCAAATACATCTAAAACAAAACGAAATAAAGTCAATATATTATACGAGGCAATACCATGCTAGCACGAATTTTAGAACGTGTTTTATTATAACAATTATCTATCTATTTCTAAATGTCAAGTTGTTATTACGAAAATATTGAAATATTCGTCTTCTTGTCTTGTTAGCTGCGCAGTGTAAGAGAACGTTTGGAAGATAAAGAGAAATTATTAGACACGAAAGAGAAAGAAGTAGTATCTCTGACGTCATTGCAAAGTCAAAACAGTGGCGAGGTTGATGTTCTCAACACTTTGATTCAATCAAAAGAGAAACAAATTGCGTCGTTAAAAGAAAAGGTACGGTGCTTCAAGTGGACTGGGTTCCATACTACTACCTCTTTTCTAAGTATTATAAGTCCTTAAAAATCCTGTACAAATTAGTAAACTATATTTGACTTCGTCACTGTAGTTCTAAGACCCGGTCACAGAATATAGACACACAGAAGGTCGACTCAAAAAAGCGTAACCAAACGCCAAAAAATCGTAACCGCTGCCACGCCATGAATCGTCATCAAAACGCTGACGCCATGGTCCTAGCCAGTGCGCTTATGAGAGGCATTATTGAGTAAAATCATTTCATACTCAGGACTAGCATTGTGAAAATTGTAAAGCATAAAAGGTCGACTCCGTTTTTTGTACACCCCATATACCACACCAACGCAGGGAATTTTGGCAGCGTTAGAATTTCATAAAAGCACAGTAAGACAGAATTCAAACTAACAAAATCCATGCTTTTAGTGTTTAGCTTTAGAGAGTGAAGTATCAGAGAAAGATGACTTATTATCACACAGTAAAAACCGCGCCGCGAATGTTGAGGCAGAACACAGCGAAATATCATCAACAGTGAAAACATTACAGAAATCTATAAAAGATAAAGAATTGAGGATTGCAAATTTGGAGCAGAAAAATGAAAATTTATTGGAAGACCACGAGGAAGAGTCTCGTAATATGCAACAACAAATTAAATCTCTGCAGACAAAAAATCTAGAAAAGGAGGTATAAAAAATATATTTTTGTTTTGCCCAAGTAAGTCTTTTACAGGAAAGGGGGGAGTGGCGTTACCTATCACCATTACTACAATAATGCCCCTGAACCCTTTCAGGGGCAATGTTTCGCTCATTCTACAGAAGAACATAGTTGTGCTGATCTCCAAATGATTATGAACTTGGTGAACGTTCGCCCCACGAACACCCTCACGTCCCCTACCCTACCCTACCCTACCCTACCAGATCTGGCTGAATTCATCTCTGGTCTTTATCATATAATGTAGGATGACAAGAGTTAGGATTACTTTTTCATTTTAACTTGTGTATACCCGTCACGTAATTACCAGCATAGACGGATTTTCATATTTTTTACTGGGGTGGTGCCAGAAATTTTAGGGGGGCGAGCCGCGATAGGTGACTGAAGCAACACAAAGTGTCACCAAACCCCAGTAAGGTCTATCTATATTCTAGGGGTGGAGCACTAGAGCCGCAAGTGGGAGTCTAGAGAGCAGAAAACAAAGTATCCCTGGAAATATTGGAAAAAAATCATGATTTCTAGCTTCGAAAAAACGTTTTTTAAAGTTGTCATATCAATGGATTTGGCCTGTCCGATTTTCTGTTGAGACTTGAGAGAGTTAAAGTTAAATGAACCTGTAAAAGTGTAAACCCAATAGGCCAATACACAATATGCTTTTACTTTTATAAAATCATTGACATTGTGTCGTTTGAATCCGAGGACAATTTATGATGCAACTCCCGATGCAAATAATATTTGGGACGTAAAGATTAAATCTAGGCAAGACTATTTCCTAAAAGAATTAAAAACTAAAAATAATGTTCGTAAAATTTCCAAACGTTTCTTGCAAGCAAGCTATTTGCATGACAAGGCACTGCAAACTCTATTCAGGGGGAGAAAATAGAGTTTCAAAACTTTACAATTGCTCCAATAAACCAGTGAATGCAAGCGAGGAGCAATTAGTTTCAGAGTATTGCACTGTCTTTTTCTATTTGAGTGTACTCCTACGTTTATTTTGTATCATCAACACTCTGCACGTTGGAGTGGACTATTTAATTATTTTTTATTATGCCGAATATTGGGGGGGGGGTTGAAAATTTTCTTGGAGGGGTGGACATTTTGTTTGGGGAGGTTATAGCTAATATTGGGGGTAGCACCCACTGCACCCCCCCCCCCACACACACACACAAAATTCGTCTATGATTACCAGTAAGAAAGTCCTTATACGATATGCTTTTGTTTATTTAGGTCGAACTGCAAGATAAGATCGAGGAGTTAGCGAAACAACGAAACCAGAGTGCTCAAGAAGAAAACAGAGCAAGTTCTTTACAGAAATCAATACGAGATAGAGAGAGTGACCTGGATGATTTGAAGATGGATGTTAAAAGAGTAAGTTATAAAGCAGGATGAAACATATTAGAGAGGTTCAGATTTGACTACCACAACCAATCAGATGCGTTTGATATATCCGATTAACCAATCAGATGCGTCCTAATCCAGTGAGAGGTAGTGGTAGTCGAATCTGAACTTTCTCTATTAGTAAACAGACGCCCTCTGACCAACGAATTTTATATTTAATTAACAAGCATTCTGTATATAGACAATATCATTATGCAAAAAGTGCATTATACAGGGTGTATCAAAAAAAACTGAACAGATTTAAAATTGCTCTCAATTTCGCAAAACAGCTATTTGTATCCGGTTTTTTTATATATATAGCCTCTTTGGGTACTTATAATGTAGAATAATGAGAAAAATTTCTCGAACTCAAATTTTGTGAACCAGGGGGGTGTGTCTTTTCCAACAAACTAAAAATGGCTCGCGCACAAAATTTAAAAGCTGCAATCATATTTTGAGTTAACAGATAGAAAATGTGTTGGGATTTTAATCACTGTACAAAATTTCAGACAATTTGGTTTAGTTTAAGCCCCCCTTAACTATTCACGCAAAGTTACAATTTTCCCGAAAAATCAGCTATTTGCATGCTTAATTAATGCATTTGCCTAATTTGCATATGTCAGCAATATGCAAATTAGGTATAAAGGCATTAATTAAGCATGCGAAAGGCTGACTTTTTAGAACAAAATGAATAGTTAAAGGGCTTAAACTAAACCAAATTGTCTGAAATTTTGTACAGTAATTAAAAACCCGACAAATGTTCAATCTATTAACTCAAATTATGATTACAGCTTT